CGGGCACCGCGTGGTTTCGCGGCGGCTTGTTCAGGCAGAGCTGCCCCGACTGGGGCGAGAGCCGGAGACCTGGGGGGCTGGACGTCTTTCTCGCTTTTCTGAGGTCTTCTCATCATCCCTGGTATCCGGAGAAAAGAGCATGCGTCAGAACGATTGTCTTGGCACATAGTTGCTTCGTTTTTTGCTTTCTTTCGTCTTTTCGTTCGTGCTGATTCGTGCTCCCCTTTTCCACACGAATTGGTGGTTGAAACTCGCTCATCCCTCTTCGCGCGTGCGATCGGGACCACAGATTGTCATCTCCGCTGCTGAAGTTTTGGCACCAAACCCTTAAATTGGCAGTGTTTCAGCTGTTACACTGCGAAAGCATGGAGCTTTCCCGCAGATTTTCCCAGTTCCTCACATCCCGAAAGTATTTATGCTGGTGCCTCCCAATGCAATGTGGGTACCTAAGTGTTGCCGCGAGGAAGCAAGCTAGGTATGAGACAGCAAGCCCGAGGCCTTGACGCCAACCCTAAACCCAACACCAAACAAAGCCCAGAATCCTAGTCTTTACCATGCTGAGCATGTCGGCTACGGAGCTGGCGAGCTGGAACGCTCGCTCACACTTCGGAGATGCAGCGAAGGACCAGTAGTAGCCTTGTCCTTCGAACTACACTCGCAATAGTTACCAGGCAGCTTCCGCGAACCGAAAAACGTCTCACCACTTCCAGCTGTGATTCATTGTCCTGTTTTCTGTTGCGATTCATGTCGTCATATTGCTGGACTCATCTGCAGTATCACGTGCATCTACTGTACATTATGGTTGGCTCTTCTGTACAGCATAGTGTCCCATGCAGTTCCAGCTTGTGAGGGTCCACGCACGCACGTGCTCAGGGGCATCGGACGTTTGTCAGCATGAGCGAGCATCGTCGTTGTTTTAACTTGGTGTTGTGCGGATGCGGGTGTGACTGGCATATACTGTTGTTTGTGATTTGAGCAAGGTGGTCATTAACTGATTTTTGTTATTTTCGTTGCAATTAAGTTTTGATTTTCTTCTTTCGTTCTCGCTTGACTCATGATTCTTCTTCTCATGTTTAGATTTTTTTGGAAGGCACTACTACGCTTGTTGGTGTGTTTACTGACATTGGTAGAGGAAGCTTGCGATCGTACTGCTTGTTGCTGGCACGTTGTTGCTACTCCTGTTGCATATCTGCTGCCACTACCACGACAACGACGACGATGTTCCTGCTGCTGCTGATGATGATCATGACGATGATGACGACCAAGGTGATGAGACTGATGTTGATGATTGTGATGCGGGTGCTGGTTCTGATGGTGCTAGTGATGGTGCTGATGCTGATGCTGACTGATGGTGATGATGGTGGTAATGGTGATGGCGGCGTTGATGACCACGGCAGCGAGGACTAGGGAAAGCGGAGGGAATGTTGGCTGCTGGTTAGGTGCTGCTGCTGCTTCTGCGACGGCACGACTACGGCAAACCCAATCATAGTATAAGGGTCTTAACAATTAGAATAAGGTCTTGGGGTCTTATTCTACAATCATAATTAACAAGGAACTCGCCCAAAACCCTATTCAAATTATTAAGGCCCCTGTATTAGACCCTAAATCACTAAAGCCCGAGCCGTAAACCTGAACTCCTCCGCTCTGAGGTCGCCATCGCCTGAGAGAGCCTCCCTGCGGGAGGCTTTTGCCTGCGATCCCTTCGAGCAGACGGAGGCCCTCCGGCCAAAAAAAGAACCCAAGCCCGAACTCTCAACCTACTACAGGGGCCTAATGACCAATTTCGGGGATTCTTTTTTTTAAGTGTAGCATAATGGGCCCCGAAACCCTATTGTAATTATTAGGCCCTTGTATTATGCCGTCAAGACTCGCAGTTTCGTGGTCTTCCAGATGACGACCTTACATCGCATGGATTTACATTGTAGCTTTCACACAGTAAGGACGCTTAAGAAGGGGACACCTAGTTACCTAGTTTTATTGACCCCCCATCGTTTCGGTGAACAGGTCTGGGACCAGCCGCTTTTTGCAGCCACCGCCTCAGTTTGCTTGCAATTTTGGGTTGAGGGTTCCGGCTGTGAGTGTTGAACCCTGGGCCCTAAACCCTGTTGCGCCCTCTTAACTTCTATATATATATATATATATATATATATATATATAAATGTAAATATAGATATAAATATATTTATATATATATATATATATATATATATATATTTATATATATATATATATATATAACTAGCCCTTCCTTGACAAAGGGGGGGGCCGTAAGCAAGCGCGATCGGGGGTTTCTCTGCCCAACGGACTCAGGCGGAGAGATCTGATGGTGTGAGGCTTACGCTGCAGCTTCTGTGCGTCGCAGAGAGTCCAGCATCGCTTCACTAAGGAAGTTACCATTACTGTTAATTATGATAGATGCTGTTATTGCCGCCCGCCCTAAAAACCCTTGCTGACCCTTTCGAATAAACCGTATAGTAGCCCCCTTTGTCGCTCGCGCCTAGCCTTGAACCCTTGTCCCATGAGGGAACCCAGAATAAACATGTGCACGGTGCGGAAGCCCTTGTAAAAAGCCCTTGAGAAACCTTGGTAAAGCCTTGCCCTTGCTAAACCCCAAAACCCTAAACCCCAAACCCTTAAACCGTTAACCCTTAACCCGACGCCCTAAACGCAAAGCCCCAAGCCCTAAACCCCAAACCCAAAACCCAACTCCCTAAACCCAAAACCCCAAATCGCAACCCCAAACTCCTTGGTTTTGAGAGATCCCGAGGCCCTCCAAGCACGGACCCTCAGCCGATGCCTCAGTCAGAAGGTTGGCGCAGAGATCTTTCTGCAGAAAGAGCACAATTTAAGGAGGTTTAGAGTATCAGGATTCAGGGTTTCGGGTTTAGGGCTTAAGGGGCCTGTTTGGGTTTGGGGTTTAGAGTTTATGGGCAGTTCTCTAATAGGGTCCCTTTTGGGGCGGCTCTTTTTTGGTAAGGGTGCCGTGTTATTTTGGGGAGTTGAAAGGGGCCCTAATTTAGAGAACTATCCCGATGAGGGTTTAGGGTATGAGGGGTCGGAGTCCAGGGTGCAGGTGAGGGTCGCGAAGCTTGGTAATAGCATTCCCTTAATGTCTCTACACAGCTGTACTGTCCTGCACACCCCAAACCCTCTTCGAATTATGCCGGCTTCTATGTTAGTTTTGGTGATGGTGGTAATGAGAGTCATACTTAGAGCTGCTGTAGCTAATGATGATCCAGATGCTCTTGGTATCATTTGGTAGCCTTCCTGATTTTCCAGTTGCGAAACCCTATGAGGCTGCTTACAGGGACAAGGAGGGGGCAGATGGCAGATCTTCCATCTGCGCAGGAGGACAAGGCACCGCATCATCTGTGCAGTAGAGGTCGGAATGATCTGTGACAACATCCCCTTACTAATTAAAAAAGGTTTTGGGGGGCCATTATACTATAATGATAATATTAAGGAATCACCAACATAGTATAGGTAATCATTAAGGCCGCTATAATACAGTACAGTCCCAAGATGGTCATAGAGTGTCCGCCAATGCCTTATCCTCGTCATCTCGGTGCTACCAGCCGCAGTGCTTCTGGCAGTGTTAACATGTCGGTAACACAAGCACAGGCACCGGTAAACAGCAATCCTGAACTGCCCGTATTCCCTAAAGTGACCATCAACCCTCAGTGAAAGATTTGGACTTCTAACTCAGTTAGTAGCTTATATATACCTCGATGAAAGAATCCGGCCGTGAGTCGTGGGAAGCCGTGCGCCGGCACGATTTTCCTACATGATACTTACTTATCCTCACTTCCCCTGATCCCTTCTACGCCCCCGCTGGGCTGCGTCAGGCAGAGCCCTTGACACTGCCGGCGCACTCGCCTTGGCCTAAGTGCTCGAGTCCTTCGCTTCCCGGTTTTAATGTTCAGGGCCTCGTCGTGTGCAGGAAGAGTAGGAACGGGCACCGCAACCTCGGAATCTCTATACCCCCGAGCCCAAAATCTCTCACGTCCGCCATACCGTGCTACCAAGGAGCTGGGTGAACGGAGTGGCGTGGGCATCGGATGGTCAAAGAATCATCACAGGCCGGGCCAGATGAAGAGCTTAGTGCTCGAAGTACGCAGCACTCCAGCCGGTTGATTGATTGAAGTCTACCTCCGGCGCCAGGAAGCTCTCAGCACACCGCGCGAGTCTTATGCATCCTGTTGGTTCGTGCATTGCTGGAAGCTGACCATGGAGCTTAGCAGTCACAGGAATTTCAGAGGATCAGCGACTGGAGACAACCTCAGACCACGATCGACTTACCTAGCAAATTCCGACAACACCTCGTGAAAGCCCTGCAGAAACCTTGGGAAGCGCGAGAGAACGGTCCATGAATCCAAAGACGACTGGAGGCTTGCATTTATCAGCAATCTCCTGGCTGCAGCAGCTGGAAGGCACGCGGTTTTGAGGTTCCGGAGTTTCGGGTTCAAGCCCAAACTCAAAACAGTCATAAAAGGCCTACACCCCGAACCCCAAACCCTAAGAGCCCATTCAAAACACCCTCAGCCCTACACCCTGGGGCTACGTTGTAGGATTTCAGGACGTGTCTCAATCGTCGTCGGTGCCAGTCATCGTCGTCCCCCAAATCTCCCCAGATAAACTTCCAGATGGCATCGGAGTTAAACGCGAACCCAGAATCCAAATGTCATGGGTGTGAGGCCGTCGGAATCCTAGGCATACAGCGGCTCGCAGATTTTCCAAAAAGTGCGGAGACTCCGAAACCCGGCAGTCAAGTTTCCGCACCCGGCTCGCGACTCCGAAACCTGACAGGCCTTGAAGCCTCCATTGTACGGAAGTCTGAAGTAGTCGTTGTACGACCTCAGCCAAGCCCCCCAAAATCCAGTGGGGTCATGCGCCGACACTGGCGGGCAGACAGAGAGACGTACAGTCTCAAAGGAACTCTTGAACCCCAGGCCGTAGAATCCCAAACCCCAAGCGCCAAACCCCAAATGGTTCCCACCGAGATCGTCAAGACCCTGCGTGCCGGGCGTGAGCCCCGGCCGTGAGTTCGCTGAGTGAATTGTTGGGGATCCCTGTTAAAATGATTTGAAGAATAACGGGTTCCCTCAAGTAACTGCAGTATAGCAGAGGGTGGCGCAATGTAGCAATGTAGCTAAACTGTATATATTTCTTTATGCATATGTATGTACACTTTTGTATTGTAACAGGGTTCTCTCAAGTAGCAATAGCTTTTTTGTGTAGGATTCCATAGTATTCAAAGCAAAACAGGCAGACCAGACTACATAGTAGCATTATTCCTTTTAGATGGTGGTTCGGCAGAACACATCACCATAGAGTCCGTATACAAGTACAGTGTCATGTACCCGAAGTCCCTTTTCTAATCATTAAGCCGCTTAAGTACAGGGATAGTGTCACCTTCCAAATCGCAAGCCGTAAACCCGAATCCAAGACTCGTATCAATCCCAGTCCAAACCCAAACCCCAAGCCTGAAATTCTCCAGTTCTACTTCATCACAAAAACACTCCCATGCCCTAAAGTCCATCCCTAACCCAGCGCCACATCCCGACCCCAACACCCTCACGGTCACAGCCCTGAACCCTAAACATGTGGGAGAATGGAGCTCAAACAACAAGCTAGATGTTTGCTATGGACACACCACACCAGCGGATGGAAAAAGGCGTTCAACAAACACACCTACAGCCTGAACCCTTATAGGAAACAACACGAGGTGCAAAGATGGCTTCGGTGCTGTCGCCTGGTCTCCCGACTGCTCGCGCGTGGCCGCGCCGGCCTCGACGTGCCCAGGGTTCGAAAAGGAGGTGGGGTTTAGGGTTTAGGGCAGTTCTCTAAATTAGGGTTCCTTTCTTGGTCCCCAAAGTAGCAGGGCATCCTTATCAAAAGACCCTAAAAGGAGAACTTCGCAAGTTAAAGTGGTTTCCAGGAGCTTGTCAAGATTCTACACTGTCTTTATGAGGTTTTGTAATGATTGGTTTTAGCGTTTCAGAAGGGTTTCATAAGATCTGCAAGCGGGCTAAAAAAAGAAGGGGAAACAAGATTAGGGAACATGCTGTAGGTTCGTTGGCCCCAAGATGGCTTTCAGAAATGAGTCATGGTCTCTAGAAGAGAGGCGTTAGGATGAGTCCGGGCGCTGAGGGTTTGGGGCCTTCGGCTCCCGGGTTTCGTTCCCTTACTTGGAACTTATAAGTACCATAACCCCCAATTAGGGTCCCTTTTAGGGTACTTATAAGTCTACTTACTACCTACTTACTAAGTCCCCTAAAGACCCTCCAAGGAGGCTTCGGAGTTGAGGCGTTAACTTGGGAGTCGAGGCTTCGCTTGCCTTAGATTAAGTTTGGTGGGGTCTTCCTGCAACTTTCCGACAGGTTGAGGGTTTATGGGGTTTAGGGTTTAGGGCCTTCGGGGTTTAGGGGTTGAGAGGTTTGGGGGTTTAGGGGTTTAGGGGTTTAGGGGTTTAGGGTTCAGGCTTTGGGGGACATCGGGCGACCCTGGAGCTCCACACCCAAGCCCCCCGGCAGTTCCGAACTCCCAGGCCGCTGGCGCGGACAACGACGCCCGGGTGATCGGACGATGTTTACGAAGTTTTTTTATTGTGGGGAGGGTTTAGGGTTTAGGGTTTAGGGTTTTTTAAATTATTGTGGGGAGGGTTTAGGGTTTAGGGTTGAGGGCTCCTTGAGATGGTTCTCCAGTAGTATGATGTACCCCAAAACCCGATTATCAAGGCCCCTATGTTTGAGGGTTCGGGGCAGAACGCAGCAGTTGTTGTTGTGGTGGTTGTTCGTATGGGTGAGATATTCTTGTTTTGCTTCTGTTGGAGTGCTTAGACAGATATTGCTGTCAAGGGCCGAAACCTTGCAGCAGCAGTTGCAACAGCAGTCGGGAGGAGAGGGAGGAACAGCACTCTGAGGCTCCAGAGTAGTTGACCGAAGAGCCAGAGGAGGGTAATCTTCATGCACCAAGGGGGATAGTGGCTTTATCTCTTCCTGCTGCTGCTACTGCTGCTACTGCTGCTGCTGCTGCTGCGCCGACGACGACGACCACTACTAGCCCCACTCGTATTCCGACAGCTACTGCCGCAAGTGCTACTTTCTACTTCTACAAAACTATCAATGCTTCTTGATCCGCGTTATCAAGGCAACAAAAAGGATTGCAGTTTTATCTCTTGGCAGGTGTACCTGCTGTCTGCGAGCGAATATCGGCAATGGGAGGCAGGTCCTCTTAACCTCTCACAAGACCCTAGCCTACTATAGGGGCCTTAATTTCCTTTACTATGTTCGGGGTTCCTGATTATAGCTATAATACAACAGTCATATTCGGTTACGTTACCATTACACTGTCCCGAGAGGGAAGCCCCCGCGACGGTAGTCGGATGCAGCAGCGTAGTGCTTTCGGGTTGAGTGCTACCAGGGCAGGATCATGGGAAGTGATCCGATGGTCTGTGACACAGGCTCTGCCAGTAAAGGCGTCCTGGATGCATTGCTAGTGGAAACCCACAATAGCAAAAAGCCAAACAGGCCATGGACTGCAAGATCTAAACCCTAAACCCTGCCACTCGTGCGAGGCCCCGAGCTTGCTGAAGGGCCACTCGGATGTCGTCCGGGCCGTATCCTGGTCGCCCTGTGGTCGCAAAGCCTGGCGCCTGGGAGAGCTACCTGGGGCTAACGGCAGTGGTGCCTCTAATCAGGATCCTACTTGTACTCAGTGAGACTCAGTGTGCTCATTTTCGGAAGCGCACAGGTTTTGCAGCTTAACGATGTGACTAAGGGCTGAGGGTTTAGCGAAAATCAATGCTGTATTAACAAGAACTACTAGCTATAGTAAGAATATTAGTAGCATGCATGCATACATAAAACAGATGCATATACATACAACATACAGATTTACATGCAGAGAGAGAGAGAGAGAGAGAGAGAGAGAGAGAGACAGAGGGACAGAGGGACAGAAAAACAGAGAGACAGAGTGACAGAGATGCATATATACATTATGTATAGATAGATAATACACACATATGTATACAGCATGCTCGCACTCATGATATGTACGCTCGTATGAGGGTATGATGACTTTCCGGCTGGGTCGCTGTAGGATGGATGGATGGAGGGAGGGAGGCAGGGAGAGAGAGAGGGAGGGAGGGAGGGAGGGAGGGAGGGAGGGATGGATGGATGGATGGATGGATGGATGGATATGTGCATACACACATACCTACATACATGTATCATCAACATACAACACATATATACATGTATATTTATGTGTATACATATGTATACAGATGCATATAGGTATATGTATATATACAGAAGATATTTACATATGTAGTTACATGTATACTTATATTTGTGTTCATATTTGTATCTAGAGATATATTCATATTTGGCCATATATACATATATATATATATATACACACATGTATATATATATATATATATATATATATATATATATATACATACACATAAGTGTGCATATATGCATATACACATGTGCATCCAGCTGTCAATCTGTACTCCTGTCGTGCTTTTTCGGGTTCACATTTTGGGATGTCGGTTCTCTGGCAAGATATCATCAACCCGAGAGCAGTGTATTCATAGACCCCGAGCCTTACTCCCCACACCCTCAGACCATAATCTCGCAGGCCCTTGAGCCGTGCAGCTCGAAACCCCGAAGCCTTGAATTCCCAAACCGGAAATCGGTGTAGAAGCCGCATAAGAAATCTACAAGAACCCTTATATACCCGTAAAAGCACCCCTCAACACCATGAGTTCAAGCTCTTCACTCTTGAAAAGTGTTTTCGGGGTCCCTTTCAGGTTCTGACCGGCGGGGATGACAAGAAGGCCATCATCTGGAAGGCGAGTCAGTCTAGGGACCCTCGAAGGGTCCTTAGGGGTCTATACAGGGGATCTCGTGCCTAGGGTTTAGGGATTCGACACGGGTTGCAGAATGTCTAGGGTTGAGGACCCTAGATCAGCAGGGCGATTGTGTGTTTAGGCGTTTTGAGGGTTCAAGTTCAGAGGGGCTTACAATCTAGAAAAGGCGCTGAACCTAACTGCGTTGAAAGCTGAAACCTGAAGCAGACACCCCAAACACTTGACCTTTACAACCCCGAGCTCGTGGATTGTGTGACCTTGACAGCCCGAAACCCTGAAACCTTAAAGCCGAATGCAAAGCATTGCATCCCGTCCTCATTTCCGCACAGGGCACAGAGTTCATGGTTCAGGGTCCTGACACTCCTGCCAGGATTTTTGAAGCTCAGGATACAGAGGATGCATGCTTTACAGCATTGTAAGTTTATGGCCGTTGAAGCCTTTTCGATACATGCCTGACAGCATTGTAAGTCTACGGCCGTTCAAGCCTTTTTTCTGTCATGATGGATTGCCTTCTTGGTCTCTCTGCTCCTGCTGTATAAGTAACGTTTGCTTGTTGTCTTCTCATATCTAGCATCTTGGTCAGAATGTAACCGCAAAGGCACAAAATCCCTATAGCCCTGAAACTACCCTTAGCCTAAAACCAACCCAAGGCTCGCAAATGAGCATCACACAGAACTGAAGTGTACAGAAATGATCGTCACAATAGTAGTAATGGCTATACTCGTAGTACTAGCACCAGTAGCAATGCAGTAGCAACACTAACTACTGAACTGAAGATCACGCAAAACTTCAGTGCATAAAAGCAGTAGTAGTAGTAGCAGCAGTCGTCGTAGTCCTAGTCGTAGTCGTAGTCGTAGTCGTAGTCGTAGTCGTAGTCGTAGTAGTAGTAGTAGTAGTAGTAGTAGTAGTAGTAGTAGTAGTAGTAGAAAAAGTTTTAGACTAGTAGTAGCAGTAGTAGTAGCAGCAGTAGTAGTGGTGGTAGTAGTAGTAGCAGTAGTAGTAGTAGTAGTAGTAGTTTAGTAGTAGTAGTAGTAGTAGTAGTAGTAGTAGTAGTAGTAGTAGTAGTAGTAGTGGTTGTAGTAGTAGTAGTAGTAGTACTAGTGTAGTAGTAGTAGTAGTAGTAGTAGTAGTAGTAGTAGTAGTAGTAGTAGTAGTAGTAGTCAAGAACCACTTTGTCACCCAGAAGCATGACCCTGCTCCACAGACTGAGGCACAAGGCGCACGGATGGATGCATCGTCCACGCCTTCCCCACCTCCCCCTCCAAAGCCCGTGCAGCCACAAGAGATCCCCCTTCCACCCAGCCGTACCCGCACCAAAGGGGTGGACAAAGCAGCTGGTTTTGCACCGCCGCCAGCCCCTCCATGCCCCTTTACCTCCACAGCGGAAGAAAAGGCGGTTTTCCAGGCAAGCCAGGCGCATCCCCCAGCAGCATCCCCAGTTGTTCCAAGCAAGGCCCCACCGCCAATGGTGGCGCCTTCCCCCTCGGCCAACTCTGCTCAACCCCCAGCGCCGGCCCCCCCACCAGCCATCCCGGCTTCCCCGGCTCTCCCAAAGCCTGCGCCTCCTGCTCAAGATCCAGCAGTTCCTGCTTCCTCCACCCCGCGTGCCCCCCCGCGTGACCCCACGCCTCCACCCTGCTCTCGCCCCCGATCAGACTATGCACCCCCGGCAAAGAATGTCCCGGCAGTTGGCTACGTTCAGCAGCCTGCTCCTACCACTGTTGTCAAGTACACCCGGCTCGAGCTAGCCCAAATGTTGAGCTCGCCCTCACTTCAAGACTGGATTCGGGCCTTGGCATCTATCAATATACTGGTGGCTCCAGTTGCCTCACCAACCAGGAGCAGCAAAATCTGTGGGCTACTCGGGTAGAGGCACTTCGCCAAGTGCCGCCACTCTTTTCAGCCATCAAGTCGGTCAAAACGCAGACAGGCCTCACATGGGATACTGCCATGTCAGTACGCCGAGTCCTCACTGCCGATGGAAAGGTTACAATCGCCACGGGTTCTGGCGAAGCCTACCAGGAGTTGGATGCACCCACAAAGGTGCATGGTCTTATCCATGCATGCTTCAACAGAATGTGGGATGAGCCCGAATTTCAACGCCACTATCCCTCGAGGATTGAGTTCAACATGATCGCTACATCCATTATGACAGTATACAACGAAGCAGCGAAATCAGCTGGTCTTCCAGCGCGGATGTTCAAACTCAAACCCATGAAAGATGCCCACTCCATCATGAAGATGCGGATTCAGCACGACAAGGGGTTTGAGGAAGACAAGCGCATGGCTCGCTTGGCTGCTGCCTCCGCACCCAATAAGCGTCCACAGGCGCGTGAGGCAGATCCTGAGGGCAAACGCCAGCGCGAAGCCCCCTCTTCCTCCTCCTCGAGTCAATGGGCCAGACCATCGAGCTCCTACCAGGACGACGATTGGAGCTGGTGGCAACAGTGGTCCTGGCATGGATACTCCGAATCTTCACAGCAGTGGCCAAAGGGTCACAACAAATGAAAGTAGGTATATGTCACAGACTCCCTGATCCCGTATGGCACAGCCTCTGGGAATTCGGCGCTCTTCCGACGCTTGCATATCTCTTCGGGAGCGGCGAACAGCGAGCCTGCCTTGCTTGCAAAAATGTATGCTGCTATGCCTGGAGGAGTTGACACCTGCCTGTCAGCCTGCGACTCACTTGCTACGCAGGTACGTGCACATGACCCTTACGGCCTTCTGTCTTCAGCATGAGTAATCCGTGTGGGACGCCACTAGACGGATACTCCGGGCACCGGCTTCAGCTGAAGTACGACCCACTTGCTGAGACAGGTGAACAGACGGACGCTTCAGTCACAACAGGGTGGCGGAGGATGAGGCAAACGATGTACAGTTAAGCCATGTTGAGTAGATTGAGAGGATCAAGAGCGATACATGCGTGCAGATTACATGTTTCACGAGTGCACGGGAGCAAAGGCGCCCGCAAAGCGCAGAGCACGCTCGCGCAGCGTTCAATTGAAATAGTAGTAGTAGTAGTAGTAGTAGTAGTAGTAGTAGTAGTAGTAGTAGTAGTAGTAGTAGTAGTAGTGGTGGTAGTAGTAGTAGTAGTAGTAGTTAGTGGTAGTAGTAGTAGTAGTAGTAGTAGTAGTAGTAGTAGTAGTAGTGGTAGTAGTAGGAGAAGCAGCAGTCGGAGCTTAACTCGAAACCCTAATACGGCGCAAGCTGACACCAGTAGTGACAGGTAGTAGGAGCCATGGCATGTTCAAAGTGCTTGTTTCCTCTTCACGAGAGAGGAGCCGTAGCCGGGGAACACGTGAAGGGTGAAAGAACGGTGGAGATGGTCGATGATGAGGGTGTCTTTTCTGAGGGCGAGACCAGACCTTTGCGGAGAGAAAGTTACCCTAAACCCTAAACCCTAAGCCTAAACCCTAAGCCAACAAAGCTCAAGCATCTTGAGTTTCTGGTCTCAGGCCTCGCGATCAGATCCCAAAGCTTGGGAGCAGTTCTCCGAGCTTGACCAGCACTCTGATGCGGCCGGGTACTTACCGTAGGTCCAAGGTGTGGGGGTTTAGGGTTTGGGATACGGATAGGGTTTCGGGTACGGGGCGTAGGGTTAGTGTCGAAGGCGTAGAGACAAGGCGATCACGATGCACCGTCCCGAAACTAACATGGAACCACGATCAGCCCCCTTGTGCAGGGACATCGGCATCTTCGTCATCAGGGTCATCACCATCATTGCCATCATCACCATCCTTCGCATCACCATCAGCATCACCATCGGCAGCATCATCGGCACCATAATCGGCATCGCCATCGGCATCAGCATGGACCTCATCGGATCGACATCATCATCGCCACCATCATCATCACCAGCCTCCTCCTCCTCCACGTCCTCCTCCTTCTCCTCCTCCTCCTCCTCCTCCTCCTCCTCCTCCTGCTCCTCCTCCTCCTCATCATTGTCTCCATTGTCATCATCATCACCTTTATCATCATCATCATCGTCATCAACAGCAACATCATTTTCTTCGTCTTCACAATCTTCACCTTCGCCATCACCCAGACCATCACCATCAACGTCAGCATCACCAACACCAACACCATCCCCGTCACCATCGCCATCACCTCATCACCATCAGCGTCATCATTGTCATCACCATCATCGTCATCACCATCATCGTCGTCATCATCATCTTCATCCATTCACTCATTCTTTCATCCATCCATCCCTCCCCTCCCTCCATGCATCCATCCATCTATCCAGCCAGCCAATTTTATCACCACCATCATCATCTTCACAATCGCCATCGCCATCAGCATCAGCACCGCCATCATCATCATCATCAGCATCATCATCATCATCATCACCGTTATTCTTATGTTCTCCATTGTACGCCGTCGCCGCCTTCGTAGCACTTTCGAAGCACCCCAAGGGACCCAACTATTGCGACGTACCACCACCACCACCACCACCACCACCACCACCACCACCACCACCACCACCACCACCACCACCACCACCACCACCACCACCACCACAACCAGCACCACGACGGCCGCCACCACCACCATCACCACCAACGATTTTCAAAGGACCTTTTTCGTCCCGAGGTGCGTGCTGTTGCGTGGTGCCCGAATGCCGACAAGGCAGCTGGGAAGAAATGTCAAGTAAGGGGTCAAAGACATTCTTGATTTCACAGTTTTGTTCTTATGACTCGGGATTATCGGTATTGCTGTCGTTGAACTTAGCCGCACAGATGCAACTAGTGCTGTCTTGTTTCGGAATGCATGGGCTGTAAGGCTAGTGTGTGATTTCTGTTCTTGGCTTCTGGCAACATCACCCCTGATATCGACATAGGTTTTGTGGTCACCGAGTTTTCCATGGTGGCGACGAATATGACGGTCCCCAATCGTGCTGCTGGTAATGGAAGCACGGCTGAACTAAAGGCCCACACAAGCATAGTATATAACCTGTCCGCTACCCCGCAATAGGCTGATGATTCAGGGCCTTTCAGATTCACGTTGGATCTCTGCCCGCCAAAAAATCCTTCAACTCCAGAGAAAGGCCCCCGAAGCTCTGAACTTATAACCCCAATGCTCGAAGCCCTGACTTGCGAGGCGACGATAGCGACGGGGTCTGAAGACTCCACCATCATCATTTGGCAGCCGGCGAAGGAGTCGGGGGGAGATCGCCGGAAGTTTGAGGCGCGGAATTTTTTCCTTTGGCATGCATCATGCTGTTATTGCTGTTATTTTTGCTAATTTTGGCAACTACTGTAAGATTAGTTGCTATTGTCGTTGTCCCATGTTACAGGCCAAGGGAGGTGTGACTCATCATGATCGACGTTCCTGGTAGCTTTAGCTTTGCTGGTCTTTCATGAGTACCGATGTGCCAGCTACAGCAGCAACCATAGGTGGATGTTCCTACCCTAAACCTAAACCTAAGCCCTAAACTTAAACTCAAATGCCAAACCCTAAACCCCTAAATCCTCAACCTCTTACTAGTAGCCCCTACTTCATTACCTCTAAGTTGCGGGGTTCCTGCATGTTGACATCATACCATGCGGTCTGATGCCTAGGGTTTAGGGAGGCTTGCGTTTCTCATTTTGGAATCATATAGGGGCTTAAATAATTACCAATATTATTTTGGGGGTTCCTTATTATAATTGTAGCAATTATATTGGGCCCCCAAAACTGTATTCTAAGTATTAAGGCCCCTACATTATGGTATCCTCATAGATCCCTTGCAATAACCCTGATATACCACTTTAAGGATCCCTTAAAGGAGCCCTATTCTAATTATTACGGCCCCTACGTTTGGCGAGGGCCCGGGTTTCAGGTTTGCAGTCTCAGGGGCCCTGGGTTTCAGAGCTGTGAATCACGGCTTCCGAGGTTGAAATGGGAGTTTCCGAGAATAGGAGACCCCAATATAATGCCCTAAATAGCAGGATCCTTATTATATGAACTCCAAATTAAGGTACCCCTAGTTTTCGGAAACTCCTGAAGTAAGGTTTCGGTCAGCGTCGTTATATGTGGAGACCTTACGCCCCAAAGCCCAAACGCCTGAGACCTAAAACAGAAGACCTAGAACGCCCAAACCTGAACGTTAAAGTCAAGACTGAGACCTCTTCTTGATCGTATTCGTGTGCTTGATGGCAAAAACTGCGGGGCCACGCAACTCCTACGAGCGGCGAACAAAATCCGAAGCTTGAGTGGTTCGTACTATTCCCTAGGCTCCGTATTATATCCCCAGTCAGTTATGCTTTCACGTATCGCCTAAACCTATTCACCCTAAACCCTCAACCCAAACCTTGTACTAGGTATAAAACCCCCAACTCACGCTCCGGCTCCCCCGACCTGCTCTGCAGCTTGTGGCTATCCTTCGGCACACGGCGGGCATCAGGCCCTTCATGGTCAGGCTTTAGAGTTTAGGCCTTCGAGGTTGAGAGTTCACCCTAAACCCTAAGCCCTTCAAGGTCCGGGTTTAGAGTTCAGGGTTTAGGTTTTCGAGGTTGAGAGTTCAGGGTTCAGGGTTTCAGCTTCCCCGCTTCGGAAATGGCCTTCGGTTTTGGATCGAATATAGAGGCCTTCATACTTGGAATCTACAATGCTAGTAAGGAACCCCTAAGATAGTATAGGTAATCATCAAGGCCCCTATATTAGGGGTTGTTTGTTTTTGGGGAGGATGTTCAGAGCTTCGGGAGAGTTATGGTGTTGTGTGCTTAGGATGTTCAGGTGTCTTCGCCGGCAGTCAGACTTCTGGCAGAGCACCTCTCGAAGCAGAGCTGTTGAAAGATCTCAGCCGGCCGGAGAATGGCTGTGAATTTTCAACAGAAGTTGGCTCACACTAGAACGCAATTGCCCATTGGGTTTATGTGCGGAAAATGCAAGTTTTCGTAAGGATATTCGTAGAACCAAGGTAGCAAGAAGAATATCAGTAACCGTACTGGTTCCTGACTGGTAGGCAGGTTTGCACTGCCACTGCTACTTGTACGGCCGCCACGACGATGGCTGCAACCGCTTCTGCTGCTGCTGAAGCTGCTGCTGAAGCTGCTGCTGCTAAGACTACGACGACGACACCGCCGACGACTGCTGCTTGTCCTCCTCCTCCCCTCCTCTGCCTCCTCCTCTGTCTTCCGATTGCTACCACTACTACTACTCCTCCTGGTGCTACTCCTACTACTACTGCTACTACTGCTACTACCACGACTATTACTACTACTACTACTACTACTACTACTACTACTACTACTACTACTACTACTACTACTACTACTACTACTACTACAGTACTACTACTACTACTACTACTACTACTACTACTACTACTACTACTACTACTACTACTACTACTACTACTACTACGACTACTACGACTACTACTACTACTACTACTACTACTACTACAACTACTACCACTACTACTCCTCCTGCTGCTGCTACTGCTACTACTGCCACTACTGCGACGACTGCTACTACTGCGACAACTGCTGTTGCTGTGATGGCGACGACGGCGACGCCTACCCTGCCGACGACGACTGTTGCGACTGCAACGCATCAGAGCAGTAATTACTGGCAGCCAATTCCAAATCACGTGCATGGTGCTGCGGCAGATGATAATGATGATGGTGATGATGGTAGCGATGATTTTCATTATCATGGATTCGTTACCCCCCCCTCCCCTATACCTCCCCCCCCCTTCCAGCGACACCTCCGAGCGTCTAGTGAGAAATGGCATTTCCCACATACGAATCTTGCTTGGCAAACTCTGGGCCGGGCAGGCCAACAGCATGCAACGCCTCAGCAACAGCAAGGCCTTAGCAAGGCCTTAGCAAGGCCTCAGCAAGGCCTCAGCAAGGCCTCAGGCCATGTCAGAACCCCCGTGGCCGATCAGGGCCATCGGAGGCTTCCTGTGAAGGTTACGCAACCAAGATAGAGGCCTTGCCGAGGTGCTACTGTGACACATGTCTTGCCGAGGCCTTGGCAAGCACTTGCTAAAGCTTTCTTGGGGGGGGAGGGGGGTCTAGGGGGGGGGGGGAAACAAATGCATGACATTATCTTCAGTGCCTGCATCCGCATCCAGCCCCGGACAGGGCCCTCGCATGGACGGTCGACGGGAATCACTTTGCAAGCGGTTGCCGGTGCCTCAGGCCTTTGGCGTTATGGCGACCTTTTCAACCTGAGACTGCAAGGCCCACTGTGTGGTATTGAGTTCCAGGGCCTGAGCCCAGCTGTTCTTTCCGGGCGCAAGCTGTCGCCACGCTGGCTCCTATCCCAGCTGTGCACGAGGTACTTGACCCTCTTCAGGTTTGGGGTGTAAGGTTCAGGGTTCACAAGTTAACCCCTAAACCGCTAAACCCTAAACCCCTGAACTCCAAACTCATGAACCCCCAAACCCCTAAACCCTAAACCCCTAAGCAAGAGGATGGTTTGACCCAGGCAAGGATGCCACCGTCCGCATCTGGGACTGCGCGCAGAGCGATGCACGGAGTTGGCCGGAGCTGTCGACGCTGAAGCCGGGGCCCCCATGAGGGTAAGGGTAAGTGCGAGGTGTCCTTTAAGGGTCTTTGTTTCTTCGGGGTTCCTAAAGGAGCCCTAGGGATCCCTTAAGGTCCCACGTAGCTTAAGGTGCTGGGTTTAGTCTTCAGGGTTTGGAGAATTTTGGGGGAGCCTTGTAACCAGAACGGGAAAGCCCCGATGCTCTAAACACCCAGAGCCGGGCCCTGCATGCAAAACCTGCTCTGACCCCAAACCTTGAGCCCTCAACAGAAAGCACTTCAAACAAACAAGCCAAACACCCAAAAGCCCTAGAGCCCTGCAGCCTACACCGTGTGACAGAAAGAGGGCCCACTGCACTTGAGAAAACCCTAAACCCTGAACCCCTGAACCCTATAAACCCTAGGTTTTGGCCACATGTGCCTGCCCAGTCTGGGCTGAGACGGCTAGTCTGCTAGTGCGAACTCAAAAAGGCCTTCAAGCAGACCTGAACCCGAAGCCATTGAACCGTAAACCTTAAACCCTAAAGAACCCCTGAACCCTACACCCTAAACACCCAAACCCTATAGCCCTGAACCCTAAACCCTAAATCTCTAAACCCCTGAACCATTAACCCCTAACCCTAAGCAAAGCTCAAAAGCAACAACCTAAACCCCAAACCCCTGAATCCTGAACCCTGAACCCTTGACTTGAAACAAAGCTTAGAAGCAACAACCCTAACCCCTGAACCCTAAACCTTACCCCTGAACCCTAAACCCCCGCCTTTAAAAAACACCTAAACCCCTGAACCCCTAAACCCCTAAACCCGCGCGCCAAGGATGGGCAACGCCGCTTCGGTCGATGCTGTGGCCTGGTCACCAGATGGGTCCCGGCAGCCTGGCACTGGAAGAGCTTTGAGCTTTAGGGCTTAGGGTTCAGGGGTTCAGGGGTTTCGGGTTTAGAGCTTAGGGTTTAGGGTTTAGGGTTCAGGGTTTAGGGTTTAGGGTTTCAGGGCTGAGGGTTTAGGGTTTTGAGCTTCGGGTTTAGGGCTTAGGGTTAGGGTACAGAGTATAGAGCCTATAGGTTTGGAGTGTAGGGTTTAGGTCTTAGTGTTTGGGGTTTAGGCTTCAGGATAGCTTTAATAAGAGCGGGGCCTCGCTTCTTGTGGTGGGCTGGAGCAGGGGGGGTGGCCGGTTAGGATTTCAGGAGTATTGGTTGTAGATTCGGATTCAGAGGCTTGGGGTAACGCAGAGTAACACAGAGGTTATACTTTAGAGTTGTATTTACAATCTTATTAGACATGTTCCTTAATAGTCCTTACATATAAGACCCGAGATTTGTGTTCTGGTTATTGAGCGCCCGGGAATACCATCCGACCAAGCTCCCATACCCGAGCCCCAAAGCCCCAACTCCATACGCCCCGCAAGGCCCCGTTGCCTTGGATCCCTGAAGACCGAACTGGGTATACGGTATACCCAAACCCTGAACCCTGCACCCAAAACTCCTACTGAATGCCAATGCTAGCCCTAAACCCTGGACCCTTTTGTCGGCCAAGAGCCTTCTACTTCGGTGGATTCTGGATGTTAGATGTGGACACACACACTGGCACATGGAAAAAGGCATTCAAGAAAAGCTATACCCCAAACCCTGCACCTAATCCCCTATGATGAACCCGAAGACCTACATCCCAAATTCCGATGACCCGGCCCAAAACTTTGTAGGAAAGGACACCTGGTTGTGAGAACTCATCAGTCCCTTTCATCCAGGGTTTAGGGTTGGGGGGTTTTCTAAACCCTAGGCCCTAAACCCTAAACCCTATATAAACCCTAGAGCCGAGGATAGCAACGGGAGGCGTCGGAAGCCCGGGGCACCGAAACGGCAGCTGCAGGTTGCAGGGTTTAGGGCGTTTCTGGTTAGCTGCGTAGCTTCCGGGATGCTCGTTTTTGCTTGCTGTGGGGCTTTGGCTTCAGCTTGAGGGATGTCGGGTCTATGGCCTGGTTCTTTGGGGTTGCTGTTCCGTGTGCTTAGGATGGGGTTCGGGCCTTGGAGATCGACACCCCTCCCCTTAACTTGAGTATCTTAAATGCGAACCATGCTGCTATGACCACCAGTGCCCTAGCCCGAAGCCTTCAACCCGAAACGCCCAGCCCCTAAACTGCCCTAAACCCTGAGCCCCAAGCAATAAGCACGACGAGGGCGTCTCTGCGACTTCCGAAATCCTAATCGCCAATCTTCACAGGCTTCTTACAACTGAACATGATGATCACAACAGCGGCGATTTATCAATTGATGGTGGTGAAGCTGTCTAGTGACAAGTCTAGTGTCAGCATCATTGTAGCCATCGTGGTGGCTAATATCTACAAAAGCCTAAATCAAACAGTTACCTATATTATTCCTTAGGGTTCCTTTGTATGGTTATCCTAGAAAGGAGCCTAACACCCTATTCCATTTAATAAGCTCACTACAGAAGATTTTCTTGGTCACTTCCTTACTTGGTTGCAGCCCTGCGTGAGTAGTTGCCGAGGCCGATGCCGTCGTCCGAGTCGCGACCTGTGCTTTTGACAAGCCTTGTGTAAGGCACGTTATACGGTTTAGGGATTAGGGTATAGGATATAGGGTTTAGGGTATAGTGTTCAGTGTTAGAGTACGAATGACAGCGAGAGTTGTGGGCTGCAGTGACGCTTTTTCGAAGCCATTGAGGTTTCTGATGCTGTTGCGCCGGCTTCTGCATTTCTGTTGTGCTTGCTCCGATATCTGTAACTCATTTTTGCAAGCTCGTTGGCATCGTTGTCCAACATCATGGTTATTGTGTTCCAACTCAGCCATCAGCTAAGCATTTGTACGTTTGCGTTTGCCTATACGGCCGTCACTGCCAGCACTACCATTACGATCGTTTCCAGAACACAGCAGTCACTTCGATATAGTTCGATTGTCGCAACAGTACTGAGGAAAGCGATAAAGCAATGTTTGATGTCGTCTTGAGTCGTGTTCTGGCTATGCGTACCGTGGCGATTGCGACAAATACAGTTGCCTCTGCTGTAGTCTGTAGCTATCAATCAGCGTGCTATCATGACACAGTGCTTGTGGCTTCTGATATCCGCATCTTCATCCCTTTGATGATGTTTATTTCACCTGTCGTCATGTTTATTTCACCTGTCTTTGCGTTCTTGTCAGCCGCTTGCTTGGTTTTGCTGACCCTGCCCTGTACCTCGAACCGTCAGCGTAGGGAGGCCCCCAGGAAGCAGAGAGGCCGAGGCCAGGGCCCTGAAAGGGCAGAGAGGCCATGGCTTTGCAGCTCCAACCCACAGTGCTGGTCAGGCCCCCTGTCGGGGCACCGGTGGCCCAGGGCTCTCGCTCCGCGGCCTCCTCCTCGGTGTCTCGGCCCGGCCCCCCGCCCTCCGCGCCTCACCTGGGCGCTGTGGCCCTGGGCACTGCGCTCGGAGCCTTCGGGCAGTGCCGTGAGCGCACTGCCCGCCGGACGCGGGTGTGTAGATATGCCAAGAAGGGCAAGAAGGGCAAGCAGAAGCAGCAGGAAGCTGCTGAGCTTGAACTAGAGGACCTCATCATGCCCGTGGAGGGTATGACAGTGGGCGAGCTCGCAGAGAAGCGCTTCTGCTGAAGAGGAGAGGGTAGAGGAGCTATTGAGAGCTAGAAGTTTCGACATCTAGTCGTGCGTCGCAATTTTTGTTGGGATCTTTTGGGATTCAAGTTAGGTTAAAAGTTAAAAGGTCATAGGACCAAGGATCCGAAAGCCCGTTGCCGGGATTATCACCTACTTCTTTGCAGAGAAGGGCAAGCCTCTGACCATCAACGATTTCCTGGAAAAGGAGCTCATAGCAGAGGTCTGCGACAAATACGAGCTCGAGTACATCTTCGATGATGAGAAGGCAGGATTTAGGGTTTATATAGGGACTAGGATTTTTTTTTGGGGGATATTCTACTGGTAATTATGAAGGCCACCACAGCCGGAGACCGTGGCTTCCTTGCAGAAGAGCACAAGGGCGAAACGGAGCCGCGACCACCGGTAGTGACTGTCATGGGGCACGTGGATCACGGGAAGACCACCCTTCTCGATACTGGGCTCGTACTATAAGCAACTTTATTGGAGTTCTATACCATAATGGGGATCTATAGTACATAATCTGGTTTCCTTGTTATGGTAAGTTAAAAGAACCGAGGATACCCTCCGAAAGCGCAGCGTCGCTGCCTCGGAGGCGGGCGGCATCACCCAGCGGATCGGAGCTTACACCGTGGCTTGGCGCAGACTTAGAGAGATCTTCGGCTTCGTGAGTTGCGAACCTGTCGGGAAAGCACCACATCTCTCCGTGCTTTCCAAAAGCACGCTAGGTGGAGTTGGACGGGCAGAAGATCACCTTTATCGACACGCCTGGCCATGAGGCGTTCACGGCCATGCGTGCGAGAGGGGCGCAGGTGACAGACATCGCGGTGCTGGTTGCTGGGTTCTTGTTCAGTTCCTTCTCAGTTTAAGTTAGCAGAATAGGGAAACCACATTATCTACGATTGATTCCCCTTGTGGCACCTTAAATTGAAATTCCTATAGTTGCACCTTACATTGAATTCCTTAACAAGAGCCCAGGTGGTGGCAGCAGACGACGGGGTGATGCCCCAGACTCGCGAGGCGATCGCCCATGCCAAGGCGGCCGAGGTGCCGATCATCGTAGCGATCAACAAGATCGATAAGGATGGCGCAGATCCTCAGATGACGAGGCTCCCTGCTGGTTACACGACCCTTTAAACCCCCAAACCCCTAAAACCCTAAACCGCTAACCCCCAAACCCGCAAACCCATAGTAAGTTAGCATATACTTAGCATATACCATGTCGGTTTTCTAAACATTCACCACCCCCTAGCACCCAAACCATAACAACCTATTCCTCAACCCTAACCACCCACCAAGAATCCCCAACCCTAATACCCACACGATGGAACCACCAGAAGAACCATACACCACCACATAGAAAAAGCCCAACCTCAACCCCATAGACCAATACGCCCATAGAAAATAACATACTCCCCAACCCTAATATCCCTAACCCTTGAAAATGGAAATGCAGTGATCTTGAAGACACTTCTCCACTAGAAGTGTCTATCCAGTTGCACATATCAGTCACGTCTGCGATGCAGGTTTTGTGTGTTTGTTGTTGGGCTTCTGTTGCAGCAGCAGGCGTGCTTTGCGCACATTTGTCCATGTTCACCATAGCACGTTCTATCTTAGTGACGTGCTCTATCTTGTTGCTTTCCGCAATTGGCTCTTGACAGCCTCTTAGAACGCACTCATTCGCCAGCGAGGCTACATGCAGGGTAGGCGACAAGTCCTGCACTGAGGGGCAAATCATAAGAAGCATCTGCGATCGAAGGCTGTATTCTTTTCTTCAGGATTTTTCCAGAGAGTGCACGTCCCAGAAGGGGATGGACCAACGTGCGAGCGAAAGGCCACTGCACTTAAACAAAACCTTAAACCCTAAACTCTAAACCCTAAACCCTAAACAGGCAGAGCCTCTCGGAGGAAGGGTTGATGGCCGACGACTGGGGAGGCGACATCCCCATGGTCGAGGCGCGGCTTAAGGTGAATCTTGAAACGCGAGTTGAGTGCTTGGGGTTTGGGGTTTACGGCTTAGGGTCCTTAAAATGCTATGTTAGGGTTTGGGGTTCCTGGCTTAGGGTCTTTAGATGCGATTTTGGGGTTTGGGGTTTATGGCTTAGGGTCATGCGATTTTGGGGTTTTGGGGTTCATGGCTTAGGGTCTTTTTATGCGATTTTAGGGTTTGGGGTTGATGGCTTAGGGTCTTTAAATGCGATTTCAGGGTTTGGGGCTTATGGCTTGGGGTCTTTATATGCGATTTTGGGGTTTGAGGGGGTTTATGGCTCAGGGTCTTTAGATGCGATTTTGGGGTTTGGGGTTGATGGCCTAGGGCCTTTAATATGCGATTTTAGGGTTTGGGGGTTTGGGGCTCAGAGTCTTGAAATGCGTGTTTAGGGTTTGGGGTGTAGGTTCAGGGTTTGTAGTTGAGGGTTTCGGTGGGCTTTAGAATCTTGAAAGCTTTGTTTTGGGGGGGTTTAGGGGCAGGGTCCTTTGGGGCTTTAGGAGGTTTCGGTTTTTTGGGGGTTTCTGCGAAGATCTTCGGCTTCGGGTTGAAGGTCGAGGGCCAGTCCCTAAAGTCCTAAACCCCAACATCCGGAACTCAGCACAGCTTAACCTCAAAGCCTGTGATTTAGCGTTAGCCGGCTGTTAAACTGCAGGAGCTCCTATTTTTGAATCTACTGTCTCACCCCCTGAACTCTGGCATCCTAAACCCCTGAAAACCCTGGACCCTGAGCCCCTAAACTCTAGAAACTCCCTGTGAGGTCAGCGCCAAGAAGAATGTAAACCTCGATGGTTTGCTCGAAATTCTGAATCTCACGGCGGAGATGTCGGAGCTGAAAGCAGTGACGAAGGACGGGACGGCGCTGTGGTGTATTTCTGTTTGTGTGTTTTGGGGACTTTGGTTAGGGGTCTGGGGTTTCGGGTTTAGGGGTCTAGGGGTATTTACGGGTTCAGGGGTTTAGGGGTTTTGTGTTCATTCGGTCCCGGGTTTCGCGGCGTCGTTTAGGGTGTCGGGTGTTGCACTTGAAGCTTGCAGAAGTCAAAACTAAACCTTTCATAAACCGCCAAGCCCAGTGCACCAAGCACCTCAACTTTCACCTCAACTTCACTGGGAACCCTAAAACGCAAACTCATTCGCTGATCAAGGCATCCTAAACCAACGAACACCCCACAAACTCAAAAGCCCATGTCTTCCTCATAAGCCGGCGGCGTGTAGCACTCACGACTTTACTTCAGGCCGAAGAAACCCCAAATACCAAAACGCCTCAAACTCTTTGCCCTAGAAGCCCTCAAAGTCGAAACACCCTGAGAGGGCTTACTCTAAGGGTGACTATAAGAGCTACTACAAGGGTTCTGCTTGCACCCTAAGCCCTAAAGCCCAAACTCCAGGAAGATGCGGCGGGCATCGTCTTAGAGTCCACCTTCGATGCGACGCGAGGCTGCCTGGCCACCCTCTTGGTGCAGCGCGGGACGCTGAAGAAGGCGCCGAAAGAGAAACCCTAAACTTAAAACCCTAAACCCCCATCTCCAAACTCCAAACCCCAAAACCCCAACCGAAGCCTTAAGCCGAACAGGGCGACTGGGCTGTAGCCGGCTCCAAGCTGTGTCGAGTGCGGCTGATGCAGTTCTTCGGTACTCTTTTATGCTTCTGGATTTAGGGTTTAGTGGCTGAGGCATGCGTCCCTCTTGCAAGGCTTAGAGCCTCAATGTTCCCCCTAAGCCAGATCGGATCAGAGCCTTTTTTCGTCTTGGTTCGGGCTTCCTTTCTGCTCAAAGGATCAGGGGGCCTCGCAAGAGCGGTTTTCATTGCTGCATCTACTCGTAGCTCAAGTTATTCACGTGTTGCCGCCCATGCGAAACCCAGGAACGACGCTGGAGGGGAGGTGCTGGAAGCAACACCTTCCACGGCGGTACAGGTCACCGGCTTTCAGGAGCGTGACGGGGGTCAGGGCGCTGGCCCAGGCCCAGCAGCTACTGGGTCCATGGGTTAAGTCGCATCGGCTTGTGTTTAGTCGCATCGATCGAGTGTGCAGTTGGGGATTCTGCTAAAACGTGTCAGTTCGCATCCTCGGACATGCTTGTAGACCTAATGATTCAGCCAGTGTGCAGCTGCTGTTTGCGATTCCAGTGGTACCGGTTGCTGGCCCAAAGTCTCGAGCGGTTGCCTGTGGAATCAAGCGTCTACATGGGGAAGGGCTGGGTTTGACGTGCTGTGATGTTATGGATGATCACAGTGAATACTTATGTGTGCCTCCACCGGTTGCTTGTGGAATCGAGCGTCCACATGGGGAATGACTGGTTTTGGTGTGCTGTGACGCCCTCGACGTGTGTCCCGAGCGGGTGCTTCTGGAATCGAACGTCTACATGGGGAATGGCTAGTTCATGTGTAACCACTTATGACTCGACCGGCCCTATGGAATCGAGCGTCTACATGGAGAATGGCTGGTTATGATGTGCTGTGATGTCATGGGTGATCACTTTGGTTGTGTGTGTGCCTCGAGTGTATGTAAAATCGAGCGTCTACATGGGGAATGGCTGGTTTTGATATGCTGTGCTGCCTCTGACGTATGTCATGAGCGGGTGCTTTTGGCAGTCGAGCGTCTACATGGGGAACGGCTGGCCTTGATGCGTTGTGATGCCATTGATGTGCGTCTGGCTCGCGAAATTGAGTGTCCACATGGGGAATGGCAAGTTTCTCGAGCGGTTGCCGGCCGAATCGCGCGCTCACATGGGGAATGGAACAGGTTTTGACAGCCGGTCGATAGGTAGGTGTAGGGTTGGAGGTCGCGCGGCGCTCGCGCGAGCTCGCGCGGGCGTCGCGCAGGCCTACTATCTATACCACAAGTCAGAACCCGAAAATCCCTGCAAAATACACTGTTGCAGTCCCCACTCGCGAACTAAACAAGCCCTGCGCAGGAGTTCCTCTGGCATGTTTCAATACTGCAAAATATATAAGCCCAAATACCTGCGGCACGCGCGCAGCTCACCTGTTTCGTTACATGTGTTGAAACCCACCTCCGGGCGGCGTCCACATGGGGTTTCGATATTTCTGGTGTGATGAAATGAGGTGATGTGAGTGCAAAATAGCAACGAATACCTGCGTCACGCGGCCTTTCTACTCATTTCGCTACATGTGTTGAAACCCACCTCCGTGCCGTGTGCCCATGGGGTTTCGCTACTTCTGATGTGACTAAACGCGGGTGATGCGACTAAACGCGGATCGAGCGTCACCTTGGGGTGTTGTGACTAAACGCGCCCTGACGCGACTTAACCCCGCTACACGTACGAGATGGAAACTGGGAATTCGGGTTGGTGTGCCCTATAGGTTGCTTGTATGGCTGGCAGTGCCATGAGGTTCCAGCTTTACGGCAGCTCCTGTAGACGATCGGCAGCTGGGAGCCCACTCGATACTCTAAGCCCCCGAGGTTTGGGGTCTGGACTTGGGGTCTAGGGGCGCTAAGCCATAAACTCCGAAGTAAGCCTAAGGGCGATATGTCACGCAAGGCACCGGATCTTTACGCCAGAAGCCCAAAGCCCTCTAGTATCCCCTATACTATCCCTGCCTTATAGTATCCCTTAAAGCCTCCCTTAAAGTATCCCCTCTAGTATCCAAAGTATCCCTGAAAGTATCCCCTCTAGTATCCCCTATAGTATCCCTGCCTTATAGTATCCCTTAATTAAAGTATGCCTTAAAGTATCCCTTAAAGTCTCCCCTCTAGTATCCCAACAGGAGGCGCCTACGGCAGGAGACCAGTTTGAAGTCTATGCGACTGCCCAGGACCCCGGCGGGAGGGCTTTTGGGGGGTTCTTGAGGCTGACGTCCGAGGCTTTAGGGTATTTAGGGAATTCAGGGTTTAGGGTATTTAGGGTACTTAGGGTATTTCGGGTATTTTAGGGTATTTAGGGTATTTGGGGTATTTGGGGCATTTAGGGTATTTAGGGGTAGAGTATTTAGGGTATTTAGGGTATTTAGGGCTTGGGATGCAGGGTTCGGGGTTCAGGCCGAGGTTTGGTTTGGGTTTCAGGGCAATCCGATTCCGGAGCCCAAACTTCCAACACCAAACTCCGGCGCCTAATTGCAAGAACTCCTTGTGCTGCCTTTGCAATGTTGTGATATGTCTTGGTTTTGAAGTAAGGTGCGCCCCCCAACACTGCAAAACCTAAAACCCTCAAGGCCCCATAGCCGACATCCCGACATCCGAAGCCCATATACCTTAAACCCATGCAAGAGCTCCAACCTAAACCCTAAAACCTAAACCCTAAACCTAATCCCACTCCCATGGTCTTCTTGAATAAGAGCCCGGTAAACGCAAGGTGAACGCCTTCGAGCGCCCCCATATAAGTTACTTTTCGGAGCCATAGTTAGCTTGTCTTCGAAGGAGGCGCGAGCTGTAGCTGAGAAACGTGAGCGGCTTGGGCATTCTTTGGCTACGAGTTTAGGAATTTTCTTGTTGAGGGTTCTCGGTTTTGGGTTTGGGCATGAAGATTCTGGGTTTAGGGTTTAGGATCCAGGAGAACGGGGTCCGGAGCAACTAGCTGCCGAGGTTAAGTGATTGCTGGTTTCCTTCAAAGCACATGCGTAAATAAAGCACAGTACATCGAGGATAGGCGCGGCGAGCACAAGGAGAGACAAATAGAGAGAGGGTGAGAGAAGCCTGTGCGTGAACAAGTCGAGCATACATACATACATACTTACACTACATACACTGGTACAGGTGTACCTACATACAAGCACACATGCAGGCATGCGTACATCTACCTAAGCAGTCATCCATGCACCTATTCAAGCATCCATCCGTGCATCCGTCCATCCAGCCAGCTAGCCAGCCAGCTAGCCATCCATCCATAATCCATCCATCCGTCCATGCATGCATGAATGCATGCACATGCCTGTATTGATGTGTGTTTCTGTTTCTCTATCTATCTACCTATCTACCTATTTACTTACCTACCTTCCTACCTCCAAACCTTCCTGCTTACTCACCTCCCTATCTATCTATCTGTGTGCCCATCCATCTACCTATCCATCTATCTATCCATCCATCAATTTAACGATCTCTTCATCCTCTCCGTCTTCCATCCATCTGTGCATCTGTCTATCCATCTATCCATCTACCCACGTTTCCATCTATCTAATCTATCTATTCATCCACCCATACCGAGATACCTGCGTTCCTTCATGCATGCAGACATACATACATGCTCACACATACATACATGCATGCATATATATATATATATACACATACCTTCGCACATACATACATACATACATACATGCATACATACATACATACATACATACGCGTACATGCACAATCACGCATCTACATGCTTATAAGCGCTTATGCATACATATACATACATATATATATATATATATATATATACATATACATGTGCATTCGTATATATATATATACACACACGCATGCATGGACATAGGCTTAGACATAGACACAGGCGCATGTACATGTGCAGATCTGTGTCTACTTCCATGCCCATGCCCATATCTATGTCCATGTCTCGCTCGTGTCGATGTTGGTGTAGAGGTAGTGGCCCCCGAAGCTCTGTCAACGATTCCTTGAGTTGGAACCCTGAATAGACCAAGAAGCCCGAAGCCGTAAATTAGTAAAGCCTAAAGCTCCCTGAAGCCCGAAATCCCCGAAAGCCTCAACGCTCTGAATCCCCGCACCCTTAAATCTATAGTCGAAAGCTATGTTGCCAGCCAAGGCGGGAAAGCAACAAGGGCCCAATTGGCTTTGCCGGTCTGGGCACGGACAGCGAGCAAACAATGAAGCTGGCTCCCGGGCCATGTTTAAATCTCATTGGTGCAGGGTACACTTAGGTCAGGCGTTTACTGAGAAGGGTCAATTTCGTTGGGGTTTAGGCTCTGGTGGGGACCCTAAGCCCCGGCGCCTACTACAATATCCAAGAACTCGAGAGGGTTTCCAGCAGGGGTCTCCAAAAAAACAGATGTGGGTTTGGAAATCCAAACACCTCAACCCAAAACCTTAAACTCTAAACTCTAAACTCTAAACCCTGAACCCTAAACTGTAGACCCTGAACCTTAAACTCAAAACCCTGAACCTTAAACCCTGAACCTTGAAATCAAAACCCTGAACCCCGAAACCTGGGCCCTAAGCCTTCCGCAAAGTGGATTCCGCCGACCTTAACTGCTAGGGGGAAACAGACGTTCAAAAAAGAAAAGAAGCCTGAGCCCCAGATTCCTAAACTGTAGACCCTGAACCTTAAACTCAAAATCCTGAACCTTAAACCCCTGAACCTTAAAATCAAAACCCTGAACCCTGAAACCCGAGCCCTAGATTCCTAGATCTCCCACTCAACGCTGCGAGAGGCCTTGATCCTGAAGACGGACGCACAGGGGAGCATCGCTGCTGCGACCTCGATGCACCTCACGGGTTCGTGGAGCTTGAGGCGTAAACTCTCCCCTACTGTTGATGATATAAATCCTACATTACCTTAAGGACCCTAATACCCTAAACTATGGGAAGATTCCTCATTATGGGTAATGCAGGATTTGTATCATCAACCGTTGGGCCTAGGGTTCTTCAGGTGTAAGAGCGTAGGGCCCAGGGGTTGAAGGGTCGTCGTTTCGGGGTCCGGTAGGGGATGGAGGTTAGGGCGATTAACCAGGGTTCAGGGCTTCAGAAGGTGACTGCAAGCTTTCGTAACAAGCCTGGCGGTAGGCCACGTTTGCATCGTGAAAGCTTCGACTTGAGGTGCGTATCATCATCATAACAGTCTTTAGGGCTTTTGGGGTTTAGGGCTTGGGGTCTCCATAATTCGTGTCGAGGGTTGGGTGACTAGAAGCGTAGTCTTCAATGATTCCTACGCGTTCTGGTCAAGGGTGCATTCTAGGCCCTAGCCTAAGTTCTCTTGTCTGTTAACGCTTCTCACTAATAAGGTAGTACTAGGAGCCCCCTGAAAGGGGACCCTTCTTAACCATACTTCTGGCTCTCTTAAAAGGGACCTGATTGAGAGGGTCTATATCCCGAAGGATCCTCTTAATCTTAACGCCTCTCACCTTCCTGCCTCGCGAGACTGAGGTAAAGCACATGTTCTCTGAAGTCAAGGATTCCAAGAATGTGAACTTGCGACTGGGCTTTGGAGAACCATATTTGTAGTACTTTTTTAAGGGAACCATTATGAAATCAACGCTTGCATACTTTTCTTAAAGGAACCATTATGAAATCAAAGTTTATACGTTTTCTTAAAGGAACCATTATGAAACAGAAGTGTATACTTTTTCTCCCTGGTTACTTAAAGGCAAGTATACCCCAATACAGTACGGACAGAGCTCGAAACCCCATTATTGTCCTAAACCCTAAACCCCCAACCCTCAACCCCGAACCCCAAGCCCTAAACCCTAAACCCCAAAGGCCCTAAAGGCTCTAAAGGCCCTAAAGGCCCTAAACCCTAAAACTCTAAACTCTAAACCCTAAGCCCCAAAGGCCCTAAACCCTAAACCCTAAAGGAGATGGGTGCTGGCAGCGCCTGGGCCCATCACGGACTCAGATGTCGAGCTCGCCTCCACCTGTCCGGCAGGCACGCGAAGTCCGAAGAAACGCAACCCAGGGGTTCCTTTACAGGGTTCCTTTAAAGGGCTCCTTTAAAGGGTTCCTTTCAAGGGTTCCTTTAAAGGGCTCCTTTCAAGGGTTCCTTTAAAGGGTTCTTATCAAAGGGTGCCTTTGAAGGGGCCCATAAGGGATCCATAGTAGGGTTCTGTCATGTAAGGGCCTGAATAATTACCTATACTATTGTGAGGATTCCTTATTAAATTGATTTATAGTAGAATATACACCAAAACTCTATTCTAATTATGAAGGCCTCTACATTACATCCCGGGTCCATGCCCGTAAAATGCGAAACTCCCAGAACCCCCACCCAAAATATCCAGGTACTGGCCGTGAGCCTGTCGGCAGACCCTGAACCCCAAACCCTGAGCTGCTACGCCTGTTCGGCATGGTCCGGGGCCCCGAGCCTTAAGATCGTAGAGTATAGGCCGTAAGCTACTGACCCTCTTACCCTGAGCCCTAAAGCCCTAAAGCCCTAAGCCCTAAATCCTAAACCCTAAACCCTACACCCTAAACCCTAAACCCTAAAGCCCTAAGCCCGGCCCTGTTCGGCAGGCCAGAAGGTGATGGTCCTGGGATTCAACACCAACGTCTCGCCCACTGCGGAGAGAACTGCCAAGGAGCGAGGCGTGCGGATTGAGAACTTCAAGGTGATCTATGAGCTCTTCGACTCCTGGCTGCTTTATGTTAGGAGCCATAGGGCTTTAGAGACTGTAGGGTTTAGGGTTTAGGGTTCTTCGACACCTTACTGCTTTGGTTTAGGGTTTGGGGTTCAGGCTTTGGGAGCTGTAGGGCTTCAGGGACTGATAGGGTTTAGGATGAGAAGCTGCTTTCGAGGGTTTAGGGCTTCAGGATTTTAGAGTTTGGGTCTTTGCGGCTTTGCGGTGTGCCTTTTGTCAAGTCCGTTCTTGCTTCCCCAGCTCCGGATCAGGGGACTTTGGTGTGCAGGTCTTACAAGTAAGGTAGCCGTAGCTACAGCATGTCGAAGTGGGTATCATCCCAATTCAAGTACGGTAATTTCACAAGCAACTCGAGAGCCTCCAAAAGTGCCTCAGGATACAGTGGTCGCCGCTTTGGAGGGCGATCTGGAACAGGAGGAGAAACTGGTAGAGAAGGGTTCCGGCATGGTCAAGGCGATTTTCGGCGGCCGTGATGGCGCAGTGGCCGGATCCGAGATCATCGAAGGGATGTTCACAGTTGGAAACCGAATCCATGCATTCCGCAACAACAAGCCACCCGGTTGTGAAGCAGTAGCAAGGACGTTTCCCCAAAGCGTGACCCTAAACCTCCAACCGTAACATAGAGGCCCAAAGAAGTACCAATAAAATTCTGGGGGTTCCACATCATAATTACAGCATGTTTCTAATCATTAAGGCCACAACGCTACACCCTGAAGCCGTAAGGAGGTAACCAGGCGCTTGACTCGGGTTTTCAAGGCCGTAAAGCCTAAACCGGAATGTCAAAGACGTTCTGGTCATGAGCTCCTTCAGTCTTCCTCCAGCAGCCGTCTTCTGAGCCCCAACCCAAGACGGCCCCGATTCGCTCATGTAGGTAATTCCCTTCCAGAAAGTATAGCATTATAACATGCTAATGTTGGTTATTTCCTTACAGTCCTTATTGTAAGTCTAGTACTGCAATATGTACCTAAACCTTTTTCTAATTTCTCAAGGCCCCCTATAACATAGCTCTCCGAGGAAGGTGGGCGAGGGCATGCTGCGGTCGATTCGCCGATTTAAGGAGGAGGTGAAGGAGATCGATGACGCTTGGGGACGAAATCAGTAGAAATGGTTTGGGGGCCTCAAAAGGTACGATGAAGGCAGAAGGGGTAATCCCAAATAAGGGTCCTGATAGAAGGGATCCTTAATCCTACCTGCCATACCGCCTTTTGAAGCCTCGGATAGTACGTAGTAACATCGCCTTAGAGGGAGGGTCTGGGTTTTAGGGTTGCTGGGGTCATGCTTCAGTGTGTTAAGAGACTCCGATCCCTGAGCTAACGGTTGATTATATAGATCCTGCATTACCCATAATAAGGATTGTATGGGAATTATGGTATATTCCTTACTATGGGTCATGCAGGATTTATATCATCAACAGTAAGGGTCCCAAACCCGAAACACCAGCCCCTAGACCGTAAACCCCTTAAGCCCGAAGCCCTGCATGTACGCTAACCTCCCTATATGGTCGGAATAGCTAGTACCAATGTTCCTATATAGTCCCTATATAATTACAGCATAAATTTCTCCCAAACCCTATTCCGGTGATTAAGGCCCCTATATCATGGTGCTGTAGCACAATGAAACCCAGAACCTCAAACCCTGGGTCGTGTTGGAAAAGAGGCGCCTCAAACAAGCACACAAGTTCATACAAGTTCATTCTGAGCGATACGGATTTCGTCTAAACCCTTTAAAGCCCCTTTGAAGGGTTCCCCCCTTTGACCCCCTTCTTAAGGCCCCCTTAAATTAAAGCCCCTCCTTCAGCCGCAGCTATGCCCTCAACCCAGGCCTAAACTCGAAGCCCGAGGTGTCTCCTGAAACTCTACAACCCTACCTGGACCCTAAGGAACCTACCTTCTCAGGGCCCCCCTAATATGATTTCTTTATATGGGTGGTTGTCAAAATTATGGCCCTTTTTTGGGCACCCTCAGTATTAGGTGCCGTATTATAATAAGGACCCAAAAAGGGACCGTAATTTTGACAACGACCCATATAAGTCCCTGAAAAGGTAGGTTATTTGGGGATAAGGTAGACCCTGAAACCACCAACCCCAAACCACGGACTCTGCACCGCAAAACCCCAACGCCCCAAATCCTTAAAACCTTTAAGCTTTAATTTAGTAGAACCCTCAAACCCGGTACGAGACCTGCAACGATCGCCGAGGAAGGAAATGAGTGCGGCCTGTCCGTCGACGGCTTCGACGCTTGGGTCTGGCAGTATGATGGGTTTCATGGGTGTTGACAATGTTTGAGAGAGTTTTACGTGGTTTCGATGGAGTGAGTTTTGGAAAAGAGACTACTGCAGTAGCAACTGAAGGGATGGCAAGTATAGCACTCACTCGTAATCTGGCAATTGGTCTGGACCGAGTGATTGGACAGATTTCGCCAGCGCGAGCATCATCAGCATCAGCTGGGTTCTCGCTCCGATTCCCCGGCTTGTGAAACGAAGCATGCGCAGCGGTTCATGCGAATGATTGATTGGACATATTGGACGGATTTCGCGAGCGCGCAGGGCGAGCATCATCAGCATCAGCTGGACAGTCTTTCAAGCTCTCGCTCCGATTCCGGGCGTGTGAAACGAAGCAGGCGTTGTGGTTCAACTGAATGGCTGGACGGCGTTCGCGAGCGCGCAGGGCGAGCATCATCAGCATCAGCTGGACAGTCTTTGAAGCTCTCGCTCCGATTCCCGGCTTGTGAAACGAAGTTCGAGAGCGCGCAGGGCGAGCATCATCAGCATCAGCTGGATTGTCTTTCAAGCTCTCGCTCCGATTCCCCGGCTTGTGAAACGAAGCATGCGTAGCATAGCGGTTCAAGCGAATGATTGATTGGACATATTGGACGGCGTTCGAGAGCGTGCAGGGCGAGCATCATCAGCATCAGCTGGATAGTCTTTCAAGCTCTCGCTCCGATTCCCCGGCTTGTGAAACGAAGCATGCGTAGCGTAGCGGTTCAAGCGAATGATTGATTGGACATATTGGACGGATTTCGCGAGCGCAGGGCGAGCATCATCAGCATCAGCTGGATTGTCTTTCAAGCTCTCGCTCCGATTCCCGGGCTTGTGAAACGTAGCACGCGTAGCGGTTCAAGCGAATGATTGCTTGGACATATTGGAAGGATTTCGCGAGCGCGCAGGGCGAGCATCATCAGCATCAGCTGGATAGTCTTTCAAGCTCTCGCTCCGATTCCGGGCTTGTGAAACGAAGCAGGCGCTGTGGTTCAACTGAATGGCTGGACGGCGCGCAGGGCGAGCATCATCAGCATCAGCTGGATTGTCTTTCAAACTCCCTCTCCGATTCCCGGGCTTGTGAAACGAAGCAGGCGTTGTGGTTCAACTGAATGGCTGGACGGCGTTCGAGAGCGCGCAGGGCGAGCATCATGAGCATCAGCTGGATTGTCTTTCAGACCTCTCTCTCCGAGAAAAACGAAGCAGGCAGCACTAGTAGTTCAACTGAACCACTGGACGGATTTCGCGAGCGTGCAGGGCGAGCATCACCTTAGGCGTAGTAGGTCAACCAAATGATTGGACGGATTGCGCGAGGGCACGGTGCGAGCATCATCAGCATCAGCTGAATCGTCTTTCAGACTTTCTGTCTCTCTGTGAAACGAAGCAGACGTAGCAGTTCAACCGAATGCCTGGACGGATGTCGCAAGCGCGCAGGGCGAGCATCATCAGCATCGGCTGGATTGTCTTTCAAACTCTCTCTCCTATTCCACGGCTTGTGAGACGAGGCAGGCGTAGCAGTTCAAGCGAATGCTGGATTGGACGAATTTCGCGAGCGGCAGGGCGAGCATCATCAGCATCAGCTGGATTGTCTTTCAAACTCTCTCTCCAATTCCCCGGCTTGTGAAACGAAGCCGGCGTGGTTAGGCGTAGCAGTTCAACCGAATGCACAACCCTCTCTCCGATTCCTTGGCTTGTGAACGAGACAGGTGCAAGAGTTCGACACAGTGGTGCACCAAGTGGTGCAGTAGAGTTGTTGTGTTTAGTGATTAGTTGCTTTTCGCTGGAAGGAGGAGCAACGATTGTTCAAAAAGGTAGGACAGTAGGATCTAAACAATGAGCCCCCAACCCATAAACCCCTAAACCCGAAAGCCTAAACCCCTAAAGCCCTACAGCCGAAAACCCAGAAAGCCTGAAGCCAAAGCCCTCAAGAATGCAAGGATGATTGGGAAGAGGGCGATGAGATCCGGTGCTTCGACGTCAAGATGATCTCCCCGAAGATCGTCAACAAGAAGTGACTGTCGATGCTACCGTGCTATCCACATGGGGAGTTTCCGAAGAGACACAGATCAAAGATCCTTATCTAAGGCAGGGGCCAGACATTTTCGGAAACTCACTATATCCGTTTCACTATCGAATTGAATTTTCAAGCATCCCTAATCAAAGAAACCTCCATCTCTAAGAACGCGGTGGAACTACGCCGCCCTACTGCACCCGTCTCCGAAACTTCTTTACAATGCAAGCAAGTGCAAGCCCACACCTTATCTAGGATGCCCAGTAGTACCCTTATTCCCTTTTTGTAGTCCTAGGTTCCTTATAAAGTTACCCAATACCAAAAAGAGAGGCCTTTGGTATCCTAGTTATGGAACAACCAGCCCAAACCTTCGAGCCTAAGCCCATGATCCCAATTCTGTAGAAGGCACGGACACGAGGTTTTCGGCCTATCACAGTTTTCTCCGTGCGAAGAAATGAGCGGCGGCATCACAGGAGGAATAGAGGGCTTCGAATTCCTTTGTCAATGTCACCTTCGAAAGCTACACGACATCCGGGTTAAGGGTGCTGGGCTCAAGCAGGTGACAACAACAACATTTTAAGAGTGGTGATAGAAGTGATCGTGGCAACGAGGATGACAATCGCATTGCAGCCTAAACTCTATAGCCTCTATCGGGGTTTAGGGTTTGAGTTCAGGGTTTTGGGGTTTTGGGATTTACGTTTGCGGTCTCGGGGTTTAGGGCGTAGGTTTAGGCTTGCGAGCTTCGGCTTTAGGGATTCAAGGGGCATCCTCTAGACCCAACATTCCCCCGAACCCGAATCTCCTTAAGCTTGAGGTTCCTTTGCAACCCCCTGGATCGGATAGTCTCTGGTTTAGGAGTTTAGGGGCTTCCCGACACTCCCTGCACCGGGAAAACGCGAGATCTGAAGACAGCGTTGGTGCTGATAAGAGCATGGGTGTCGTAAACTATCTTGATGTAGTTCGGAGTCTCGGGCCACGAAGGTGTCGTGTTGAGCATGTATAGTAGTATAGTATATCTACAGGATGATCAAGTAAGCATTGATATTGGAGGAGCTAAGGAGCCAGGGATGATGATAATCCCTATGAAATAAGGAGCTACAGCGCCAAGGGAACCCCAAAACCACTGGTTAGTCAAGTTCAGGTCTGGGCGTGGAAGCAGCGCCCAGCCCAACCCGGAATCGAGCTGGCGGGGCCCGCAGGCGACGGAGCTTGGGAGTTCGGCTTTGGGGATCGCTTGGGGCAAGGGGACCCTGAACCCTGATACTGTTGATGGACAAAATCCTGCATGACCCTGAGGACTCTAAACTATGGGAACTATGGTATATTCCTTATACTGGGTAATGCAGGATTTTGTCCATCAACAGTAGATTTAGAGCTTTGGGTTTTGGGCTGAGGGGCCAGGGGTGAGAAAGGAACATCGAGAGAACGGCAGGCACGATCCGAGAGTCTATTCAAGCGACACTCGTTCTTTCAGTGCAGTTTAGGGTGCCACTGACCCTTTCTACGCCACCCATGCCACGCAAATGGCTGAGCCCTAAATTGAAAGCTCGAACCCTGAAGCCCAAAAGCTGAGAAGGCCCTTCGGTGCCCATCCGGTCGCTTTGCTGGTCGCCGGATGGGGCTCAACTTCTCATAGGGAGCGACAGGACGCGTCAAAGCGCTGTGACTGTGACTGGAGTGTGGATCCAAACTGAATAAGTCTATGACACATGCACTCACCCTTTTCCCTAAAGCCTCAACCAAAAGCCAACTCGCTTTGCCTTCTTGGATTTGAGGTCCAATAATGTAGAGGCCTTACTAATTACCCGTACTGTTTTGGGGTTCGTTATCATAGCTATAGTATAATGGACCCCAAAACCCTATTCTAACTACTAAGGCCCCTGTACTATAGTACCCTTATAGAAGCCCTCATAGTAACCCTTATTGACCCCTTTGAAAGGAACCCTGCTCTATTTCTTAAGGGCCCCTACATTACCACGAAGGGAGTATTAAGATCCTGCGCCTCGATATTGAAGCTTTTGTGCTTAAAGGGATCCTTTAAGGGTTCCTTAAAGGGATCTATAGGGGTTCTATAAAAGGTTAAGGGTTTTAGAGTTTCCGAAAATCAGGGGCACCTTGGTTTGGGGTCCTTATAATGAGGATCCTTTTTGTTTAGGGTACTTTCTTAGAGTCCCCTGTTTTCGGAAACTCCCACATGGGACATGAACGAAGAAAGTGGCTTCGGAGCCTAGTATACTTGTGTTGATGGGATGCAGGTCTTAGTGAACAGGTTTTGCTGCTGAAAATATGGCTTTGGGACATACTGAGCAGTGATCGTATGAGGAATGCCCGTACAAGTATTGCCCTGAATCCTCTCCGACAGGACGGCACGCATTTGGAGGGCGAAGACCGAGCAAAACGAGGCGGAGCCTGCACCTTCCAGCGCCAGTCCGGTTTCACATGTGGGTGGTTGTCAAAATTAAGGCCCCTTTGTGGGTCCCTATATTATAATACGGCACCTAATGTTTAGGGTACCCAAAAAGGGACCCTAATTTTGACAACTACCCATTTAGGTGGTGTTCAAGGCTGCGGGTTGCGTCCATCCTATAGGTCAGCGACGGTAGCTTTCAAGGCCATCAGGCCCTAAACCCTACCTAAACCCCCCAAAGTAGATAAAATAATAGCCCAATACCTATAAAAGGCTATTATTCTACATACTTTGGGGGTCCAGGTAAGCCCTAAACAGAAGACAGGAAGAACACGTGTCAACCCCTGCCGTTCACTTCAGCCAGGCAGTGAAAGAAGGGACTGCAAAGGAAGTCCGCGCATTCGTTCGTGCACGACTGAGGCGCGAATCCCTGAAGTCCTGTTGCGTAATCTTCAGAACAGTGCAAACTACTGTTGATGATATAAATCCTGCATGACTCATAATAAGGAATATCATGGGTCATGCAGGATTTCTATCATGAGCCGTATGTCTGCAGATTATGTTGATGAAAATCATAGTAATGCTGACTGCATAACCCGGCCTGCGATTCTTTCGGTTCGGGGGTCTTCCGAGGCATAGGGTGGGACAGTTCAGCAAAATGAGGGCTTCGAGCCTAGACGTCAGCAGGTACAGAACCACCATTTGTAACGTAGGAGCTTGAGAAAATACTGCCACAGTTCTTTGGGTTCTTGAAGGGTTCTTGAATATGAACATACTATCATGTACCCCAAAGACCCATTCCAAATCATTGAGGCCTTGCTTGAAATCCAGCTCACAAGCACGTTCCCCTCAACATTATCTTACATGAGCTTCCAACCAATGCTGCAGGCTCCGACCCTCAGCACATGGCAATCTGGCCCAGCCCCGCTGCAATCTCGTTGTCTCTGAGCCCCTCAACCCTAAACCCTGAACACCTTAGACCCTGAACCCAAGACCCTAACCCCAAATAACCTTCCTTTTTAGGATATAAAGAAATCATATTAGGGGGCCCTGAAAAGGTAGGTTCTTTAGGGTCCAGGGAAGCCTTAAATCTTGAACCCGAAGCTCAGGTCCGGATTCCTACAATCCCAATTCCCCGACCATTCCCAAAGCGCGTCAGGCAGCCAAGTGAAGAGCCACGGGAATCCGGAGTTTAGGAATTATATAAGGTTGCTAGAAGGGTTGCTATGATGGTTACTACAAGGGCTTCTGTGGGCTTATTGGTTTTGGGGGGTCAGGGTTCCGGCACCAGAGCTGTGAGGATTGAGAGGCAGTGAAAGGGGTTGGAAGGTGGCTTCGCGTTTAGAGTTTGGCGGTTTCACTTTTGATATGCAACCGACAACACGTTGGGCGTGCGTTTAACTCCGATCGAATTTGCATCGTGCATGGCTCTCTAAACCCAGACCTCAAGCCTGAAATCTTGAAAATTACATGTTGCTGCTGAGAGGTCGAGCCCGAAAGAGCCAAACCTCGAACTCCAACCGTCCCACCATTATATCTACCGCCTAAATGTTTTAAATCTAAAGTCCAATGCCCAAAGTCTCAGCCAGCCAAGCAACATGTGGCAGTTCAACACAGGCCTTGTAAATCTCAGATCCCAAACCAGAGTCCCTGGACAGCGCAAAGACGGCCAGATTCAGCCGCGACGATCCTGCAGATTGCGTGGAGAACTGGCGGGTCGAGAAAAAAGCCTCGGAGCTTTCTTTCTGATCAGATAGGTTTTTCTAGGATTTTCTGGGATTGCTGTGGCTGTTTCTCCTGCTATTACTACTGCTGCTGCTACTTACTACTGCAAATTGCTGCTACTACCACCTACACTGCCACTGCCACTGCCACTGCCATTGGCACTGCCACTGCCACGGCCACGGCCACGGACTGCTGCAACTACTGCAACTACTGCTACTACTGCTACTACTGCTACTACTGATGCTACTGCTACTACTGCTACTACTGCTGCTACTGCTACTACTGCTACTACTGCTACTACTGCTAGTACAGCTACTACTGCTACGACTGCTGCTACTGCTGCTACAGCTACGACGACGACTACTACTACTGCTACGACGACGACTACTACTGCTACTACTTGTGAAGAACGACAGAATTGATGCTGCCACAAATGCTCATTCCCTGGCTTGTTGTCAGCCCTTCCAAGGCCCTTGATTTGCCCGCAGCCGTACTAGCACCGATATCTTGTGATTGAGGGGTTCGTTACTGTGCCGGGAAATGGCCTGACGAAAGATCACTTGACCCATGCCTTCACAGAGCTGCTGCAGGACGCTCTGAGCTTTGAGAACGAGGCATGTTGGACGTTGCAGTGGCTTCTTGCCCCAGCTAGACAGCCAGAGTAGCAGCTAAAGTTCTTGCTCTCTCTATATATATATACACACACACACACATATAATATGTATATATACACACTGGCGAAAGCAGCAAGGTCACAGTAGTCATATCATGAACAACAACCAGAAAATCACTTCGGGTGGCTGCTAACATCGCGGTAGTTAGTAGGAGGGACATGAAAAGGAGGAGGAGCAGAAAACAAAACTAGACGAGCA